TGCGGCCGACTCCGTCACTCGACCCATACGCTCTTGGTATCGAGTCCCGCTATGGTTATAGGACACACGGTAGCTTAGTTGGTTGAGGCACTATATAACCCGGAAATTCGGGGGTTCGATTTCCGATGAGGTCATTGGATTATTCAGTCGACCTAATCCTTCCAGCCTCACTATGGCCTTGGGTTCGACTCAGCCTCTAACAGAAATGAGTACCAGAATGTTCTTGGGGGGTAAAGGGTGGTCGGCGCGTAAAGCTACAAACAGCGCCGCCGTCTGTGACCTGATTGTCTAGAAAATGTGGGCGCCTCGACGTCTCACAACCCTATGGACCTCCACGGCCTGTTAAATGGACAGCTTTCCCTATTATTTACCCGTGTGACTATTCTCCCATATTAAACAGTTACCATGTTAGGTGGGTCCCTTGTCACCACGGCATGGCGCGTCCTCAGGTTGCGGATGGAGGGACACCATCCAAGTATGGAGAGTAGCTGCGTCTATATTGAACAAGCAGTCGCAGACAGCCGACAGGGTGTGGTCCTCCAGCTTGGGGTTTGGGCGTGGGGCTAACTACTCCTCACTGTAAAAACAGCCTTGTTACGAAAGATCACAAGATGCCTCGGACCTTGACAGATTCCTTAAATAAACGACCTAAGCGAAAGAAAATGGATATGAGATTTAAAATGGATCTTAGAGAGATAGGATGGGATGGTATGGATTGGATTGATCTGGCTCAGGACAGGACCGATGGAGGGCTCTTGTGAACACGGCAATGAACCTTCAGGTTCCATAAAGTGCTCGAAAGTTCTTCAGTGGCTGCACAATTGGCGGCTTCTCAAGAAGGGCTCAGCTACATGAGTGAGTGAATATAGTACGGTTTACGCGTGTATGCAAGTGTCTGAGGACATGGAGACGGTACATACGTGCCGAATTGTCTGTCATACCTTGTTGAAACTGGTGACATAACATACATTACGTGATTTGAAATGTGTACGAAATTATCTCATTTATGGAACCCCTGCTTTTCATCGACGTATTCACAAGAGACCGTCACTGGTCCCTGTCCCAAGTGCGGAGGGACGGAGAAGCCACGCCTGTCTGCTTCAATCAGTTTGTTTCCTGACCAGAAAACTGTTCCCCTGAACATCCATCAGGCCAAGGCAGGCCGTCATTCTCTCGTCATGAAACTTAAGTACAGGGTCTGACGTCAGATACAAAGAGCTTGGTCGATACTGGTGGTTCGACCCGATTAGAGTTTCTGAACTCAGTGGCCAGTGGAACTGAAGGAACAACGCGGGACATGATCACATGTGCGCCTTACAGGCAGCGTCTTATGGCTGGAAGTGCTGCGCAGTCCTCGTCTCCGATGTACTGCACCGCGCCGACGGGCTAGAACACAACAAACATTATGCTATGTGTCTAGAACTTCTTAGAGGGTGCATCATACCTTAAGTGGTCAGCCTGTAGTCCTGTGTAAGTTTTGTGACGTGCTATATGACGTCCATCGCAAGGGGAACACATACTTCCGCGACAACGATTACATGGAAATTGTTGAGTTCCCACCGCGACGAATTGAATACCAAGAGATTGTTGCGGAGCAATATTCGTGGCAACAGCGGGAATAATGCATTCCCGCGGTAACAAACATAGAACACGTGAAATCGAAGCCTGAGAGAAGGTACTCTCTATTGCGTCCGAGCGCACGATATAACAGTCCAACGTCAGCCAGTTTGTATTCAGTTTTCATTGAGTCTGTATTCGACTCTAGCAAGAAGAGTTCTTCGACAAGGGACCAAGACACAAGACCGAGGATAGTGGTGCAAGTAATTATAAGAGTGTGAGCGACCTCCGTAGTCTAGGGGTAACGTTCCCACCTCATGACTCAAGGTACGCGGGTTCAAACCCGGCGGAGGTCGTGGAATTTTTAAGGGCGGAAAAAATTCAGGGAACAAGTCCTCCGGGAGGGACTTTAAGCCGTGGGTCCCGTGTTGTAGATTTACGGCACGTAAAAGGACCTCATGTCTCTAGGAGACCTCTGAGCTAAATTACGCAAATTTTCCCGCCCAAGTAGTTTCCAATGCCTCCGGTAGATGGGGAAAGTATTAAGTATCACTGCCAGATGAGGACCGACCTCACTGACAGAAAGGAACTAATTATCAGATACCACTGCCAGTAGAGGGCCGACCTCGCTGGCAGAGAGGGACTGATAACGGGCACCAGTACCTGTAGGGTATGGAGACAATAAAAATTAAAGGGGAATGCACAATGGACCAACAACTGGTCTAAGTGCATGGTGAAACCCACCTCCTCCAACAATGAATGAATGAATGAATGAATGAATTATAAGAGTGAAGAAGGAACGTCCGCAGACGTCATAAGTGATCGTAATTGTATTTGAGTTTGTAAAAGCGAGTGTCCAATAAACATATTCGCCAAATCCGAGACCTGCGCGAATTTAGTTGTCGCGTTACGTAGGCAACACGCGACAGTGTGTTTGAATTTCCCACCGCCGTTTGCAGACCGAAAAAGTATGTTGAAAATAAAATGTAGTAACTTTATAACTAAGGATGACACATTCTCGCACGTACACTTGATGGAGTATACTAGATACAATAACGCACTAGCAACAACCCCTGCAGAGGCCAAACGACCACTCACAACACAACACGGGAATTCCCCATATCCCATGTGATAACAACGCCCTGTCGATGCTGCCACTACACCCAACTTGCAACCCGATTAAATGGGAGATAGCGCATGTGAACATAACATCACACCCACCTAGGCAGGAACCAGACCGGAGCGACCAGTATACCAGCTAAATAACTGATAGATGCATATATATATTAATCTTAATTGAGATCTTAATTTAACCTTCCACCACATGTACAGTAATTTAATTATATCTAATACCCACATAATTGGACTAAAAAGTAGATAATACCAAGAGTTTTGTTGCCAAGCATAATATTACATGTTACATAGCCATATTCAAAATGTGGATCCGTATAAAGAAACATGTTAATACCGAAGTACGAACAATTCATCTGTTGACGACCCAGTAAGAGTCGAAACATGTCATGTTTTTAAGATTGTAATGTAAATAATTGTATATTTCTATAAGAAATTATTACATCAACGGATGTAGAAGTACTCATTGTATGCTAGATTCTGTTTTTAACATACGACGTGTGACGAATCCTCAAACATGGTTCGGACAGAGTATACCATACCGCATAAGTTCATATCCCCCCCCCCAGCAACAGCACCCAGTCATTCCAAGTGGCCTCTTCGGTTCTGCAAGCACCGCCGGGATAGCTCAGTTGGTACAGGGATTAGTGTACGAGCTGAACAACCAAGGAATTGGGGTTCGATTTTTCTCTTCTCCATAACGTTCATACCAGCCCTCCTGTAGGACGGGAACCGGAAGGTTTTTCTTGAGAGTAAAACGGCCGCGGCGTGAAGCTGATCAGTGACCTCCATTTTGTGCGGAGGTTAAGAATTATGGGTCTATGCCTCCGTTCCACCATTTATCTTCATGTCTTGGTGTTTAATTAATTAAGCAGAGGAACAACTTTTACCTTTTTACTTTAAGGCTCTCAGGACGTTAGATCTTCTTTTGTTGTTTTCCAACAGAAACTTTGTTTGCATTTCTTATCTCTCCGATGCCTTCTACATACCCATGCCATCACATGCTCCACGTTTCATCACTACAGTAAAATATATGTTGAAGTGTGCAGATTATGAAGCTCCCCATTGTGCATGTGTCTCCAGCCTTCTGCTGCTTACTTTTGCTCGGCTTCCTTTTCTCAGACACCCTCATTCTATATTAGATCTGACGTTCCCGCGGAGGTGTGACACCGTGTAGTCTTCTGATAGGAGTGTAGTGACTTTCCCGCTGGCTCGTTTGCTTGGTGTACGCTTCGACCCTGAAGATGGATTCATTACGGTCCTCCGAAACGTTGGTTAACTTATATGAGATTAAATATCATCTCATGCTACAATATAATACTCTCACTCTCAGTATATGTGTTTTCTCTTAAGGTAAGGGACCAGATTTCACCCCTATACACGACAGTGAGTAAAACGATATACTGTACTGTACTGTAGGTTTTTAGTTGTGCGTGGAACGATAAAAATATTCTCGTGTTGGATGCGAGATATGATAGAAACAAGTTGGAACACAGCCTGCGGGAGTGGCTCCCCGGGGGGTCGATACGGAGAGAGGACCTCCCTCCCCTCACCATCCTCACAGGATCCAAACCCACTTCCCAGAGTTTCGGCGTAATTGGTCTCAAGAGCTTCACCACAACAGAAAAAGCCAATATGAAGAGTGAGATCTGATGTTGATCCTAGTCTCCATGCGATGTCGAGTACCATCCTGTATTTGAACTGGGAACCTCCAAGATCCGTCTGTGTTGACCCTATAAAGCTGCTTTCAAACGAGAAATATAAATTAGATAAATCACTACAGCGGCGACAGCGCGGGCTGGACCATCGAAGATCCGGGGTTCCAATTGCAGAGATTTGTGTGTTCATTTTCATCGGCTATCGCTTTGCAAAATGGAGTCCGCCCTGAGAAATTACTAGGTTATTAATTGCTCCATGAGAAACCGTACTTTACTATCCATGTTTCTATGGCTTATTGACCTTGGCCGCCTTTTCAGTTTCTTAATCCTATACACAGTCTGTAGGGATAAACCCGTAGGAAGGCCGCTACCTACACAGGGTAACACAAACACAGCATAAACGGAGATAAACGTCCATGCCTGGAGTGGGATTCGAACCCACTATCCCAGTGTTCTAGCGGACGAAGACATTTCATGCCTTAGACGGAGCGACCAACACAGATATTACAGTTAACAAATCAGGCACTTAACAGCAAAGTAAACTGCTCAGTGATCCTTCTTGATTTTATTCACCCTTGTCAACAGGAAGTGCAGATTGTAAGTCCTTGTCGAACTTATAACCTACAAATCAGAATATGTTTTTGTTTCTTCCAGGCGTGGACCCTGATAGCGACGAAGAGACAGACGAGGCGGACCCTGGATTGGGTGATGCTGGCGACGCTGAAGAAGCGGGCGACGGAAGTAAAGTTCGGCAGATGGTCGCGCCATCACCTGGTCCTCTGTTGGCCCAGACGTAAGCATCACAATCCGGTAATCGGGAAATGTGTAACATTTTGCCAAGGAATCTATGATTATACAGACAGATGCAAGGAGACTTGGGTCTTAGAACCAGATCAGCGGAAACTAGGTGGGAAGTCAAAGCCACAGGACTGTACTGTGTCCATCGGCACCAATTTTCGGCAAAATGAGCTTGAAGATTCGCTGTAATCTGCAGTTTAAATGTGACTTTGAGGAAAACACATTCGGAAATCTCGCACTTGCAAGTAAGGCAAACCTTTGGAATTAATGAGGAGACAGTACAACACAACATGGAGAATCACAGAACTACGTATCTCATTTTGACCCAGAAGTGGAGCTAAGATACTCCTGCAGTCAAGGCAGTGGGCATTACTTTTCGAGCAAATTACGAGTACACAATAAATTACTTCTTCGGCTTCACGGACTGGTTCATTTTTTCTTCTTTTTTTTTCGAGTTCAGGATTCATTTCTGAAACTATGAACCTGTTAGACATTTGTGAGCCTCTTCCCCTGCCTACACAGGAGAAACGCTGACAATTAACCATGCCCCAAGTAGGATTCTGACGTACGACCCCAGTGTTCGAGCAATCGAAGACCGTTAATTATGCGATACATTATATTTTGTAAATGTTTATCGACCCTAAACAGACGCGAAAAGAAATCAGAAGCATATAGGTTCAAACCCAGAACCTCTGCGGTAGCAGCCTAAAAGGTTTTCTCGTCGGCTGCCGGGTCTTAGTAAGAAGGCAACTTATACCGTAACCACGTTCTTCTTCTTCTTCATCATCTTCATCATCATCATAATCATCATCAGTTGGTGCTGCAAGGTTCATGCCTTTAGACCTGCCCCGATCTTCAAATTAGAGTAATTGATCTTTCCATCTGTTTGGTGGCCGACAGCAAGAGACTTTGGTAGTCTTCGCGTGTGTTCAGAAGATCACTGTTGACTGTGAGGCAATTTCGCGTGTGTTCAGAGGGTCATTCTTGGTTTGCTTATATTCGCGTTTTGCAGATGAATGCATAGCGTAACAATTTTTGTTTGATTATCTTCAAAACCATAAGAGATGCGGAGACAGTTTATTGGGTAAATATTATCTTTTGTGGCTTTTCTGCCAAACACTCTTAGGCCCGATAAATATTAACGAGTTATGCTTAAGATGCGCGCAGAAAGGCATGCAAATCTTTATGTAACGTATCTGTTATTGTTATTTGATTTTAACCAAAATTTGAAAGAGTAAAGAGATTTTAGTTAAGTTTCCCAGCATCACATTTCATGATAGTCAGTTCAATGGTTCTCGAGTTGTTACTTGTGAGTAGATGGACGGACAGAATCACATTGGGCTTGAATTTAAGTTCCTGCAAGCAGATACCGAAAGGTGAAGACTGGAGTGGTTGGGGAATATGGTTGGAACAGATTAAAAAGAATGGCTAAGAAAAATCTGCAAGTAAGCCAGAAGGGGGCAGAGAAGTGGGTGGGCACAGACTGAGATGGCTGGAAGATGCGGAGAATGATTCATGAGAGCTGAAAGTAAGGTGGTTGTGACAGAAGGAAACTAATATAGAATTGTCAGCCATCATAAAGGAGGCCAAGGTTCTCAGAAGACGATAGGACCTAGGAGTAAGTAAATGGGTTTAATTTTGATACAAGTTTATTATAATCTTCTTTTACCTCCGGTTTTTTAATTTTTAAATTCCTGAAATTTTTCGAAAATTGTCAGTTTGAAATTTTTTCTAAAATGTTTCATAAGTATGAAATTTTCAAAACTTTCAAACAACGTTTGTTTCAATTTTCGAATTTCTAAAATTTGGAAAATTATTAAGGTCATGGTTATGAAGATTGTTATATTTTTTTGGATTTATGGATTTTTTAATTGTGAGACATTTTAAATTTTGTATCCGCAGGACATTGTGAACTGAATGGGAAATATTAGGTTTAGTTTGGTTGTAGTCTGGTTAGGTTAGGTTAGATTAAGTTAGGTTTTCATTATTTTAGGATCTCATAAATCTTAGATTTGAACAATCTTGGATTTTGTTTATCTTGGTTTAATTTAATATTGAATTTAATTTATCTTAGATTTAATTAATAGACACTCAGCTTCAGTGCAAACCATACCTCCTCCTGCTACATACTTTGATTGTCTTATGCTTTTTCATACATGTTTCAGTCTTTATTCTATCATTAATTTGATTGTTTCTCCTTTCAGAGAAATATCCTCTAGTCAGATGGATTTCTTCAAGATGCTGGATGAAAAAATAGAAAATGTATGTACACAGTTTCAGTTTCATCATTATTACAGTATCAGACGGATTTTTGAATTCCCTGTAGCTAAAAATTCTTGGTTTAAATCTCTTGCTTTCAAGAAATCGGCATTAAAAATGTTTGCCATTGGTATATTGCAGTTTATGCTTTTGAAGGATTATACTTTGTAATTTATAAAACTGGTACAATTTTTCTTTAATTTACTTAATAAAATTAACAAACTTTGTTTATGTGAAGCATTATTTTCTCTGATGAACTGTTTGAGAGGGATAAATAAAGTGTGATTGCTTGTCTGAGCTCACTCAAAGATTTGCTCTTATTGCCTCAGTACTTATGAACACAAATATTTAACATAATAGTTTGTATGTATGTTTGTGTTAAGTTGAATAATACATTTGTCAAGTTCTGTAACTCATCAGTTGTAATGACACTGAAATATTTTGCTTGATCTCCATGTTATCATTTCCAGTATTCTTAAAATTATACTAGGCCTAATAGATGTATATTTTTCAAAGAACTGTGGTAATACAGAACTCAGAAGTTCTATGCAAGATTTGAGTTTCTCATGGCAGCCACCATGAAAGGATTACTGTCATTGGGAATGTGAATACATGTCATCTACAAGGGTTGGATAGAAAGCAGTGGCAACACTGCTGTAACGTGAAATATGTGCATCAGGTGGCATTAGCGCTGTCTGTAGCTGATAGCAGAAGCTCAGTTGAAGTAGTGCAGTGAGTGGCTTTGCTTGTGTTTCATTGAGTTGCATTGTGCATGGTCTTGAAGTGCAGGAGCCCAGTTCAAGCGCCCTAAGAACATATTTATGAAACAAGAACAACGCTCCTGGATAAAAATTGAAGTTGCATGAGGTCATAGTGCACAAAACTGTCATCAGGGACTGTGAAAAGAATGTGGTGATGCTGCTGTGCCACATCACACAGTGGCACGATGGGTGAAATTGTTCTGTGAAAGGAAGGATGCCATTCAGGACAGCCATCGTTCAGGACGACCCCATGTTGACAACCACACAATTCAGCTTCTTGCTTCTTTGCTAGATGTCGATTGTCGATGGGCTGCGCGGGAGTTAGCAGCTGAGGTAGGCACAAAACTGTGCTCCACATTCTGCACAATATTCTTGGATACCACAAAATTGCAGAGCGCTGGGCACCCCATACCATGTCCGAGGTGCAACAATGACAACGTTATGTAATTGCACAGGACTTGTTGGACCAGTGACTCTGGACGAAACTTGTGCTCACTCATATGAACCGCACTTGAAGCAACAATCAAATGAATGGGAGCATCCTGGCTCTCCTCGTCCAAAGAAAGTGCGCCCTGCACTGAGTAATGTGAAGGCGATGTTCATTGTGGCATATGACACTGATGGAGTGATACTGCACCACACTGTACCTCAACGGCAGACGGTAAACGCTGCCTACTACTGCAATTTCCTGCATAATCATCTTCGTCCAGCACTCTGGGGAAAGCGACGACACTTGTTGGCAATGAACCCCATCATCCTTCATGACATTGCAAGGGCTCATACTGCTGACACTGTCAAGGATCTCCTTCGCCTCTGGCAATGGGAGATACTGAAAAATCTGCCATACTCACCCGATATGAGTCCGTGTGATTATGATATCTTTGCCAAAATGAAAGGACCACTGCGAGGGACACGTTACAACACAAGAGAGGAGATTATTCATGCTGTAGAGTGGTCACTGCTGGACATCAACAGAAGTGGACGCGCTGATGGTGTACGACGCCTTCCATAAATTTGGCAGAAGGTGGTACACATGGGGGGCGATTATATTGAAGGAATGTAAGTGTGTTTACCTCAGGTAATAAAGTCACTTCAGAACTATAGAGGTGTTGCCACTACTTTTTATCCGACCTATGTAGTATACTGTTTCTGACATTTCATAGTGTCCTGCTGCCTTGGTCTGCAGGGTAGCAGCGTGGTGTATATTTACCAACATTTTGGATAACATGCTACCTCTATTCATAGAGTAGTGGTATATATTTACAAGTTTTGGAGAGTATACTGCTCCTGTCTTCAGGGCAGAAGACAAAAGCTGCACATTCCTCCAAAAGGTTGGTAAATATCTATCACTGTTACTCTCTCCTTGGATGTAATGCCATGTAGTTTTGTAGCTATATACACCAGTGTTTGGAAGAACGTGCTGCCTCCATCTTCAGGGTAGGGCAGCGGATTCCTGCAAAATATTGATAGCCATCTACCAGACTACATTGTGTCAGATCTCTGTAGACAGTAATCTCTGAAGGCTAGACTGATATGTACTTTCATCACTGTTTTTTTAATGCCAGTGGGGTGGAAGTAAGTCCCTTGTACTGCGGCCACTTCTGGCCGATTGTACCAGCCCCAGATGATAGGTGGGGGTGATTGTGGAGCAATTGGTGGAATTAATATTGGCAGGAGAAACCGAAGTACTCAGAGAAAACCTGCCCCAGCGCCACTTTTTCCACCACAAATCCCACTTGACCAGACAAGGGATCGAACCCGGACCACCGCAATGGGAAGCCAGCGACTAACCACTTGAGCTATGGTAGGCCAAGCTTCTTTGTTGGTTCTGAACCTCGGAACTCATCCACGCTACGCCGGTGTCTTACCCATAGACCACCAACACCACTTTCATGAAAAATAACGTTTTACAGGGTCCAGATTATGATTCTGCAAATGAGGAAGAGATAGCAGTTGAACGGGCTCGACTGTGTGCACTGCTACGTGACTGGGAGACGGCAAGCACCAACAGCAGTCTGAACCGTTCAGCACCGTCCACACCAGCCCATCGCAAACTACCATCTAAGCCACAGGGCCCACCACCATCGCCATATTACCATCCACAGCTGAACGGCGAGCTTTTCCTTCAGCAACAGAATCAGCAGCTGCAACTTCAGCAGCAGCAGCAGCACCAACAGTTGCAGCAGCAGTACTTCCAGCACCAGCTGCAGTACCAACAGAACATGAGAGGACAGTTCATGGTGTCCTGTTCCCCTCAGATCACGCGTGTTGCCCCAGTTTTGAGGAACTATCAGCCTATGTCTCCTGTGCCAATGCAGCAGCATGCCAGTTCTGTAGTGCAGTACCGCCAGTCAAGAGGGTCGTACACAGAGCTGGCATGACAGTCATTATATCCCTTCCCACATAGGAGGCTTTGAACTCAGGACATAGATGTTGGAAGTAACTTTGATTGTTATGATATAAACCAAAGGTGATGATCTGATTCACAGCTGCTGAAGAGGCAGAAACAATGAACATATTACGTGACTGTATCTTAACCCTGTCTTGCTATCGTCTGGCAATATGTCTGTGCAAGTTTCCATGTTATCCCATCAGCTGTTCCATACAATATTTATATAGATTCAGTCAGAACTGTATATCCTGTCATATTACAGTTCAGTCAGTGTTTAAAGTGAAGTGTACATACCAGAATACATAGAACTGGTGGTAAAATATACCGTTACAAAGATTTGTAAATTTAAAATAACCTACAAGTTACAGCTGCATAATATTGCAAACTACTGTAATGAATACAAATGTTATATTTCTGGACATTATTCATCATCCTTTTTTTATCTAAAACACTGCCCTCTTTACATTTAAAAACACAACATTTCAAGGACTGGATTATGTCTCCATCTTCAGGTAAAACCTACTCAGCTGGGCCCAATCAATAGAGCTAGTCCCTATCTCTGAACCTAATCCAGTATGTGAAATGTTATATTTTTAAATATAAACAGGACGATGTTTTAGATAAAGACGGGACAATGGATAATGTCCAGACACATAATATTTGTATTAATGTACCATCGTCACAAACTTTTAGATCCTATTTACTGTAATGAATGTTAATAATTCAACAAATGTTATGTTTCACCCAAGGCCAACTCCGTTGTAATCACACTCAAACAAATATACATCAAAGTGGCTTCTATATATAAGATGGCATTAGCAGAAATAAGGCCAATCCATAACAGTAGCTTCTCACCATAGAGACAAAGGTTCACTCTTGGGCTATTTCACATGAGACTCATATGGACACAATGGCACTGGAGCATGTTTTGTCCAAGTTTCTTCAGTTTTTCCTAATCACCATACCACCATTGCTCCATACTGATCTATTACACACTCTGAGGTGTGCAGTAGCCCTGACCAGACAGAATAGTATCACATCTTTGGGCTTCATCTGTGATCCAGTTCTTAACTGGTTCCAGAGTAAGGAAGTGTTTTTTTTTAATCATTAATAAAAATAATGTATGTCTATGTTAAATGTATCCTTTTTTGTAAATGGGAAAATTTCTGTTGTAATTTTCTTTCAGTATACTGGTATGTTATTCTTTGTACTTTCAGCACTGATTATATTTTGTTATCCATGTTTTAAGTTACATAATAAAATGAACATAAATCCTTGCTGATATTAAATACAAGACATTTTATATGCAAAAAGTATTTCTGATCTTCAGAGTAACTCACTGCCTCCTTTATAAAGGAAATTTCTACTCTGATAAGAAAGATAGTGAATTCCAGCAAACATGAGAAATTCCTTACAGAGATTATGGTGTCCTTGGCTGTGGCATGTGTAGTTTGGTAGTCAGGTACCAACGTTTTGAAGGAGTCTGCTGCCTCCATCTTCAGGGTACCCAGTATTCTAATCTATGTGGTGTCACATCCCAGAAAACAGTAGTCTGTATGCTTGTATAAATACCATTAGGAGTTTTTGTCTGTTATAAACCACAGAGAGGTTCTTAGAGAATTAGGATGAGGTGGTATGGACCAGATTCATCTGCCTCAGTATAGGGGCCAGTGGAGGGCTCTTGTGAACACAGTACTGAACCTTCAGGTTCCATAAAATATTAAGACATTGTTGAGTAGCTGAACAACGGGTGGCTTCTCAACAAGGGCTCGGCCAAATGGAGTTTGTTACTTATAATGTCACAGGGACTTTCCATGGATAATTGTGAGTCTCACAGCATACATATGTATATTATTCCTTTTGACACATGATAGTTATCAGTGGTTTTCAGATTGAGTTGAGGAATTTTGCGATTTGTGATGAGCACTGTTCATTGTCTTCGAACAGATTTTCAAAATGCAGGTGTCCCTAATTATATTGTTATGGTATATGTAAATGTATATTAAATGCATAAAATTAGAAAGGGACTGAGTGAAAACATGATGGAGATTGTGTAGGAAAGAACATGACTGAGTCAGCAAAACTGCCCACACAACTCACTGGGCACATGATGTAACTTCTACCAAGGCCACAGATACTCTTCATGGCCCTAAAATTGTACTGTGAACATATGATAATGTAGGTAATGAAAGCCCATATGACTAGAGTCACCTGTAATACACACATGCTTACTCTGTGTGTCTATGGTGCTCTGAGAACCTTGGCTTTATTTATGAAAATGCCCGTTCTTGTACATTATTTCCCTTTGACCTCCATCTCTTCACTTTCAGGCCTCATAAACAATTCTCTGCATCTTACAGCTATTTCAAACTGTGTTTTCACACTTTTCTTTTTCCCTCTGGAAGAATAATTCATGGTCATCTGAAATATTTTGAGAAACGAATTGGAATGTGCTCCATTGGAGAGACTAGATGTTATACCTTTTTTTTTTTTAATAGCTGAGGTTACATACATACATACATACATAATTCATAAATTCACTGATCCGTTGTCCAAATTGGACCGGATATTGAACTTGTCAAAATAAGACTTGATTGCAGAAGTACAATCGTGTCAACAGCAAACAACCACACACAACCAAAAGCTCAAAATAACCATAATTTACATTGTATTCATAAACAAAATTACAAGGAATATAGTTATTAAATGTTATACAAGCTTAGCATAAATATATTCATCTATTTAATAAAAAGCATTTGTTGTGAGGAAACTTTTCAGTGTGCATTTAAAAATCTACACATTATCACTCATCCTTTGTATATTTTGAGGAAGATTATTATAAACCATAATGGATGAATATAACACGCCTCTCTGGATTGAAGATAATCTCACTGATGACACATGTAGCTTTACTGTCTAGTGTTTATATGATGAATATTATTGTTGGTTTGGAAAAAATTGCGATTTCTAACAACAAACGTCAATATAGAATAGATATATAGGCTAGGAACCGTCAAAATACCCAACTTCTTAAAACCTTCTCTACACAAGTTTCCAGGACTCAATCTCAGCATAACCCTAATCACTCTTTTTTGGGCAACAAATAAACTTTTCATAACTGGAGAAGAACCCCAGAATATAATACTATATTCAAGCTGAGACTGATGATAAGAAAAATAGACCATTCGAAGAGCTTGTTCACTAAGAAGGGATTGTAACTTCCTGAGCATAAAACAGGCTGTATTCAGTTTCTTTAATAATTTTTCAGATTGTTTTTTCCAATTAAGTTGACACTCTAAATACATACCAGTTGCCAGTAAGGTTTTGTAAAACACTATAAAACGGAAGCGATATGCTGACTTAAGGAACTCTGGAGGAATCTCCAAAATTAGTAAAAATAAAAATGCTGTATTCTCATATTTGACCCTCTATAGCTTCGATCTTCAAGGCAGAAGAGTAAGTTAAGCATGAAAGAACATAGAACTGACAGAGGAAGAAGTAGGTCTGATACTGGGGCCCTGAGTGAACCAGTTCCAAGGGGAAGAGTGTAAAGGATGTTTTGCCCCTGGGAATTTCCCAAAGATGTAATATTTCGGAATGATAATAAGTAAATGGAGAAATAGGGGTCAGAAGGAAGTGAGGTGAAATGTAGTAAGAAGAGAGTGGCCCTTTATAGGGCATATTTCAAAGGCAGAGTAAATAGGAGAAAAGGCAAAATTTTGATAAGGGACAGATTCAGATGGCAAAGTAAAAGGGAAACATGAAGAAGCAGAGAAGCAGAACTGAATAAATGGGGTACATGAGGCAGGAGGAGGAAGGGGGCACTAAAAGGGATAGTGTTGATACCCTGAAAAAGACAATGTTCACTGGGCTTAAGGGTCTGGTTCAAGAACTAAATCATGAGATATCCTGTGAAGGAGACTTCCTAAATCCTATCATGGAGTAACCTGTTCTCCTTACTACTACTGGATCATTCAGGACCTCGGTTCCACACCTCTGTATTCTTACAACCCTTTTTTTTTCCATGCTTGTCTTAGTCTTCTTCCTTAGAGATAGAATGGGCAAGTCCCTCCAGAATGTTAGTAATAACCAGTCAGTTTACATGATATCATATCCAAAAAGACAGCAATTTCCATAGTTACCACCATGAAAACCTCCAAGCTTGCAATATGAATGCTGACTGATAAGAAGTTACAAGGAGTTGGTCATGGAGTATTTGAAAATCTCAGCTTTCAACTGAAGATAGAATACTAAGGACAGTTGTGAATGACCTTAGAATAGTTGGTAACCCAGCAGAGATTTGAATTGGGTGTCCCTTGAATGTGAGTCTAGTGTGTTATCATTGAAGTGACATGCTTGATAAGGCTGAGGTTGAAGTCATTTGAAAACGAGTTCATTTCTATTGTCATGTTCCTAATTCCACTTCTTAACACATTCACTGTCAATCCTGTCATTTGATGGGCTAGAGTTTGTGTTCCAGAGCTGATCCATCAAATGATGAGCTGTTGCCACTGTGTATGTAAATGCCATGTTGTCCTACAGATGGCAGTCAGATGCAGAGAAACTTCAAGTGTAGCTTGTTGAAGATTGAAATGACCTAAATATACAGTGAATGATAATTGTTTTTCACTTGAAGGCTACTGTCTCCTGACATGTAATGCCATGTTGTCTGATAGATCTGTACCGGCATTTTGAAGGAATGTGCTGCCACCATCTCTCTCTTTTCTGCCTTGAAGGTGGGTACAACACGTTTCTCCCAAAACATTTCTTATGAGCTATCAGACCGCACAGTGTTACTTCCCAGAAGATATTAATGTTCATAGTCACCATTGTGAGAACTTTGTGTGTTTTTCACTTGTTCCCTCCCATTTCCATTTCATGTAAGGGAAGTTCAAAATATGGTTTTCATGCAAAAGTGGCCAGCACTGCAGGTAAAATCGCTGTATGTGGGTACAGCAGCAAGTGTGTTAGCTGTGGACCCTGTGAGGCCAGTAGCTGAACAGGACTTAAATGTAGCATGTACTCACTGCAGTATGAATGAAGGCAAGATTGTTGATAGCTTGCAAATGCAGTGGGTTCACTACACTCAAGAATGTGCAGCAGTCCCTATTTTCCTATTGTGTAATGCATACAAAGGGGACTGTACCTTTGTGCAAGCTGTGGTGTAATATGGCCTTTACATTTTGAGATTATAATAGCAAATCTGTTGGCTACATCCAGTTCTGTTATATAAGACTGTTTATGACCTTATCCTGTAAATTTATACTTGTTTTCAATATGTAATGATGATCTCTGTTGTAATCAGCTTTGAAAAGCTACAGATATGTAGATATATATGTACATAAATAAAAGAAAGTTTATAATGTGATAAATTTTGAGAAAAGAATTCCAGTTAAGCGGAATTTTCCCCACAAAATTGTTAGTATTATCTAGGGAGATGAAACCAGTTTTGGCAGAGTCTAGAGTTTATTT